TAAGATAGGATAGACCTTCAAATAAATGATCCAACTCTAAGACCACAACCAAACAAGGAACAAGAAGTAAAGCGAAGATCACAGATTCTATGTGTATAACATTTTAGTCACATATAACCTTAGTGCATCCACTTAACACCTATTGACCTCCTATTAAGGGTCTTTTTAGTTTTCACGTAAGTAATTATAGTACCACAAAATACTCCTATAGTATTTTAACTTTATGTTATGTTCTAGTGTTTCTTTGTAGTAGGGCTGGTAAGTTTTTTTTTTATTTGTTGCAAAAAAAAAGCCATTCCTAGGCATATGCTAATAACTTCTCGGATAGATATAGTTGATCAGGATATATCAATCCCAGACCTGATTATATATCCCCAAGCCTACTTGTGCGGTTCAACAATCGCAAAAATTTTGTTCTGTTCTAGTATGACATTGTTCTGGTATGTATGCATGTATGTATACTTTAGTAAATTATTTTATTATTAATAAAGTATAACTCTTGGCCATAGTGTTTTAATCCCGTTGTGTTTATAGTTGTATATATTTCATGGGTTGGTAGACTTAGTTCACTATAAACAATGCTTTGATACCAATCTGTCACACCCCCAAACCGAGATGGCGGAAACATTCGGGGGGCAGAGGACATCATGTACATTATCATAACAATGCATAATAGTAAATAAGCAACAACATCCATTGCATTAATAAAATACTTAATACATGTGTGTTCTGTATAGTTGCATGACTCCAAAATGTATAACAAAATAAAAGATGAGTCTGAACATGCTCCTTCTTCTCCAAAACCTGCCAGTGTACCTGTCTATTGGTTCCTGAGAATACAAGTTATTTTGAAAGAGAGTATCAACATTTAAGTTGGTGAGTACATAAGTATTTTAGTGTGAGTGTTTGCATTTGTTTCATGAAAATGTTTGTATTTGTTTAGTAAAAATGTTTGTATACTTCCCAAAAAATCCTATATTTTTTGCTTTAAATGAAAAGTAGTCTTCTATCCAATACCCAACTGTTTGTATGTTTTGTTCTATTTAAAATAGTGTAAATGTGTGTTTGTACAAGAAATAGTATAAAATGAATGTTTTCCATATTTGTAAACCATCTTTACTAGAAAAATAGTATGCATTTCTCATGTGAGAATATCACTGTATGAATGTAATGGAAAAATAATAATTTATAGTAGTATTTTATAAAATACACTACTAATTCATTAACTACCTTTAAACCAAACTGGTTAATTAAGGTTAAAAATGTGATTAGTTTGTCATCATACTTGATTGACTAGTATACAACATGATGTTCTTCAGACGTCAAAAATGATATGACATTTATCATTCGTAGACCTGTAGGTCCCATGGTATCTAGTAGCAAGGTGTGGGATGGTCAATCCCATATAGATCTATACACAAACTCACGCTCTCCCTCCAGGAGACTCTGGTTACAAAATGTGACATAGCAAGAATATTGCTATGCCATGAAGTAGTATCTCACATTTTAGTATTTGTGTTCTTGTTATAGTATGTAAGTTCCTTCTTATTCTTGTAAATGAATAGTATACTTTGTAATGAATAGTAATAGTGGGTATGTATTGAATCATGTATGTTTCTCTGTTCTAGAAAATAGTATGTATTGATCCTCTAAACAATACCTATTATAGTTTACTAGTATGTTTGTTTGAAGTTTTACTGAATTAGAGAAAAGACTCAATTGTCTAACATATGCAACTAAGTTAAGTATGTTCTTTGAAATGGGTTTAATATTCATGTATATATTTATTAAGTATAATTATGATTTAGCTGGCAGTCGGACTAGTGATTCTACCCTAAGCCCACAACCAAACAAGGAATAGGAGTTACGATATTTAGCAATAGTCCTAAGTCCGTTAATGCATACTTATACATAAATATATAAACGAATATGATTTTGATATAAACAAAATTCTAAAAATAGTTTACAAGAGTTTTCTAAAATGATTTTGATAGTATTTAAGCATAAGAAATCCTTTTTGTTTGTTTGTTTTCACATGTAAATATTAACACAATAAAATTGTGTTCTACTTGTATTCCCCCTAAAAGCATTTAAAACAATTAAAAAGGTAAATTGTAGGGTTATGAACTCACCTTATGTGAGTGATTCGATTGAAGATTAGATATAGGATTTTTTCCACGATATAGCTCCTGGTACAAAACTAAATCCTAAATAGCAATTTATGCAATATATTGGCATGAAATTAGTGAATATAATCTCAAAGGTGTTAAGGAAACTACCTAGGATGTAATAATTACTTACACAAGAAGTGTTAGAAGCAAAATTTGAAGGCTGCAAGGTGTTCATGGCTAGCTTCGATGTTTACGGGCACAAAGGGTTCTCGGCCCTTGAAGATTCAAGTGTTTTCGGCTGTAACAATGTGTGTGTTCTTGGTGTTCTTGGTGAAATCAAGGGGATTCAAGGGTTTATGTCCGTAAACCCAACAATGAAGGGTGATTGATGGTGAAAAGAAGAACACTAGATGTTCTTAACAAGCTCCGAAGGTGGATTACATGATATTCGGATGATAGATGAGAGAAAAATTTGGGTTTTCGGTTGAAGGTTTTGATAGAAAAGGCTTGAGCTTTTGGCTAGAAGTGTAGAAGTGAGGAATATTTCAGTCAAACATATATATATATATATATATATATATATATATATATATATATATATATATATATATATATATATATATATATATATAGGGTGAGTTTGCGGTCCGAAGGAGTTCACAGCCGAAGGGGTTTATAGCCCGAAGTATGATCATGACTCGAAGTGAGTTCACGGCCTCAAATCGATGGTTTACGGTTAGAAGCGAGTTCACATCCAAGAACGAGGTTCTTGTTTGCGAGACGTTTGCGGTTGCGAAGGTAGGGTTTTCGTCTCCTGCGAGGCTCCTCGGATTTTAAGTGTTTTAAGTTTCAAATTTCCTCAAATCATTTTAACTAAGTGTTTAACATGCAAAGGTTAGTAATCTAACTTTAATATTACATCAAAGCACAAGTTTGACTTTTATTGGATAAGTTTGACTTTAGTCGACAAAGTTCGACTTTTACAAGAATACAAATTTCGGGTTGTCACACGCGAAGCATATTTTCCAGAGTTTATATCGTTCTTTTTCTATGGCATCCATCTGTGGATGATACGCAATACTCATGTCTAGCTTGGTTCCTAGGGACCTCTACAATGATTGCAAAATCTGGAAGTGAATATGCTACCTCGGTCCGAGATAATAGATATTGGCACACCATGTAGTTTGACTATATCCTTAAGATAGGTCCTGGGGAGTTTCTCTGTGTTGTCGGTTTCTTTGATGGCTAGGAAATGGGTGGAGTTGTTCAAACGGTTAATAACTACCCTAATGGTGTCATTTCTGTTTGATGTTTTTCGCAACTTTTTTATGAAGTCCATGGTTATTTGTTCCCACTTCCATTCTAGGATTGACAGTTGTTGTAATAGACCAGATGGCTTATGGTACTCTGCATTGACTTTGGAGCAACTCAAGTATTTACCAACATATGTGGTAATATTAGTCTTCATTTTAGGCCACAAATAAAGCTTCTTAAAGTCGAGACACATCTTATCTGATCCGAGATATATCGAATATCTCGACTTGTGAGCTTCATTTAACACTACACTCCTGACTTCACCAAACTTTCGGGTCCAAATTCAGTTCATGAAATATCGACTTCCATCTTCTCTGATGTCGAATTTTTTGTCCACACTTGTACGTTTTCTTCCATGATATTTTTGGGTTTGAGTGCTTCCCGTTGAGCATCTCGAATTTGGGTGGTGAAATTGGAGTGGATGGTTAGGGTTAAGGCTTTTACATAAGGTGGATTTGCTCGCTCTTTCTCGCCTAATGAGTTTGATCAGACATTTTCTTTACGAGTATGATAATGAATTTCACATTCATAATCAATTAGCAATTCAAAATTGGGTGGTGAGATTGGAGTTGAATATGTGTTGGAGTCTTCTATAGTTAGTGAACACGACACACTTTCTTCCATATAGGTAGTGCCTCCAAAATTTTAAGCCAAACACTACAGCTCCCAAATCTAAGTCATGTGTGAAGGTTTGTATCGATCGGATATACTTCAAGTGTGAATAACAAACATAAAACTATTCTAAGCAAAAAATAATAAACAAAATGTAACGAACACATGAGTTTTCCAAATTGTTCTTTCACCAAGAAAGAGTTTGGTCTTCACCAAGAAGACGGGTTTGTCACAAAGACGATTGAAACCAAGCCATGATCATAACATTAGGGTTTGCCCAAATGTCGTATATATACAAATCTATACATGTATATCCATTGATTAAATGGATTGCGTCTAATATATATTAAGAATCGATCTTATTACGAAGATACTAGATCTGTCATCTATTGAATTATCTATATCATTACCTAATATACAAAAGATTACAATTAGATAACTGAACTGTAAGTTGATGCTGATAAGCTTGATACGCTGACGCTATAGATGTAGTAGATGTTGACGCTGATCTATCAGCATGTCATGTGTTTGGCTAATCAGATCCTAAGGTTTGAGCATACGATCTCTCGTATCTAATGATGCCAAAACTAATCATCTTTAGTTATGAAAAGAGTAAGTGTACAACTCTTTAGCTCGACTTAACATCTCAGGCTTAACCCATCTGAATTTATCGACTTTAAGTTCTTCCATTCTTCGACTCAGCTTCAGAGATATCAGCACAAGATATCCTCTTTCCAGTTCATAATGATTGAGTCCTTCCATGTGAAGATGGAACAAATTTTCAGTGGGAGCTGAAGGAAGATCATCAGTGCACTGAAAGCCCGTCTAATTTTGACCGTCGAGATAGAAGATCCTATGATGTGGTTCTGGAATAAACATATACTGAATGGGTTCAACACTCACTGCAAATTTGTTGTTTATGTATCTGGTGCCATAAAGAAGAAGATACTTGGTATTCTAATACTATTTGGGAGCGCCTGTTCTTCCTGATGATGCTAATCTATATGAACTAGCTGATAGACCAACGGATGGCACAAGATTCAGTTTTTTTAATTTGTTGAGAAGATGTTGGACTGCCAACTTCACCTCCTGAGCATGAACACCCTTGTGTTGGTCGATAATTTCTAGAATTTGCATCCACTCATTGTAACAAAATTTGACTAGCTCACGAGAAAGTGCAACGTCGGTGTATGAAAATTTCACCTTCTTTCTGATCAAGTAAAGCTTTAGTGACTTATTCTTTGGCTTGGTGCATCTTACTTTGATGATGGGATCAGGTTTTGTTCTACGAGTCATAACGTCTCGAAAATTCTTTCTATTGATCCGGTCATTTAGGTCTAAAACAATATCTTGCTTTTCCACATTGTTATTGAAGATCTTCTTGACCTGATTATCAGTACTTTGAACATCATCACTCTCATCAGTGAAAGCAATTTCTTGCACTAGTTTGGCAGACAAACGTTCTTGTTTTTTGACTTCTTTCTTTTGTCGAACACCATGAAAGACCCTTGCTTCATATTTGAAACATTATTACTCCTAAACATGCTACATGCATATTCATAAATAATATCCTACATTGATAGTGTGATTACAAAAGACTGGATATGATCTCGGGGTTTCGGGGAAAGTTTTCTTACAGACGAAGAAGATCAGTAGCCATGATTTTGCGGACTCCATTGATGTTGTACGTGACCAAAGTTTTATTACAGACGAAGATATAAATACGTAAAATGAGAACAAACATTGATTTTGGTAATACGAAATGGTTTCTTGGTATTCACTGTTATAGATGAGGATACTCCCATATAAGATGTAACCACTGCTCGGAGTACGAAGAAGATCAATAGCCATGACAATACCAACAAGAAAGAAAGGGGAGCTATATTAACATATATTTCAAAATATTATAATTACTACATACATAAAAGTACCAAAAATGAAATAAAAGTAGTTATTATTATTATTTTTTTAATTTATAGATAACGCTAAATATACAATTGTAGTAGCAATAAAAAAATGTAAAATTCTACAAGTAGCCCTAAATATAATATAATTTTTGGCTCGTGAATAAGAAACGAAAAGGTTATAGAATTTAGTGACTCAATATAAAATAGCATATGAATACGCAACAAATATTTAAAACATATTTACAAAGAAAAAAAAAGTCCAACAAATAATACGGAGGTTTACTTGGATTTTTATAAGTCTTCAACTAATTTTAAGAGTTTGTTGAATTTTTAACTTTTGATAAAAAAATGAAAAAATGAAACATATTTTTGATTCCTTACAACTTTTTTAACTTTTATTTTAAACAAAAACTTCTAATTCAATAGTTATTTCAAATAGATTTTAACATTTATTCTTATATAATTTTATATTTAAAAAAACCAGTAACTATTTTTTGCTAATTATTTCTATACAAATAAGACTATAGGTTACAAGTTAGAGTGCCATTTAGGTTGTGTTTGATATGCATATGGTCAGGTCGTGTCAGACATTTTTGGGTGACTCGATAAGCTAAAGGTGTTTGATAAACCAATTTTAAACGCCTGGCTTATAAAGAAATATCAAATTCGGTAAAAAGAGGGCAATTTGTTGATTGAGAAAGGGAGAGCAATTTCCATTTGTACCATTGCCATACTATTCCTCTTTCAGCGCTTCCATCGTCGATTCTTGTCCTCTTTCAGCGCCACCACAACCACGCATGTCAAGCACAACCATCTTCTCCTACAACCAACAAGCAACATCGATGGTTTCTTCTCTTCTAGCCACCAATCAAATCCTCTTGCTTCTTCTCATCAAGTACGCTTCCTATTTTTTGATAATATATGGGCTCCTATTTTTTGATGTTTTATTCATGTTTGAACTTTTCTAAAGTTTTCGATTTTTTTTTGTTCAGTTCATGTTTGGTGTTATGTTCATGTTTTCTCTTGAATGTTTTCTTATCAAGTAATTTTGTTTTTAATTCATACATACCTAAACACATAAATACATATATTTTCTTGCACAATGGAATTTCAGTCAATAATTTACCTACTATGAAAGTTAACTAGATTCAACCTTGTTTAGTTCCATTTATCAGTTACAATTAATTTCATCAATTACAAATTACAAACTAGTGTGTACATGGTAAACTAAAAGAGAAGCAACGAGATTAACTATGTTTATGCATATAAGAAATACCATTCATATTACAATAAAAACACATGTAGCATTCTTGTTTGATCAGATAATACATAAAAGTTGTAAAAACAAAATAAAAAGTTGTAATTTTTGTTGTTGAACACATACATACATACCTGAACACATCAATTGGTTTTTCTATTGATCTTGATCTTGATAAAAGTTATGATAAAGTTTTTTAAAAAATTTTAAAACTTTATACCTTTGTAATGATTTATATTACTTGAATAATATGTTTTAGGATGTTGGTTTGGAACGAGTGTGAGCACAAATCCTTTCTTGATGCATATATCCACAAAGTTAGCCACTAATGGTCATGAGGGTTCTAGGCTTAAAGCAAGTGCATTGAATAAAATATGCAAAAAAAAATGATAAATGAACATGGTACAATGGTTGATCAAGAGAAATGAGAAACCACTTTGACTACTAAAAATCTAATTATGTAGCTTATGTGAAACTAAAAAACTGAACAGACAATATATATGATCATGTAAAAAATAAATTTAATTTGGCCGATGAAGAATGGAAGAAAGAAGGGAAGGCAATATTTTTATAACAAATTCTAGCTTAATTATTAAAAAAAACTAATATTTAGAAATATATATATATATATATATATATATATATATATATATATATATATATATATATATATATATATATATATATATATATATATATAGTTGAACAAGTTCGTGTTGTTATTAAAAAAGAAGGCCCACTATTTCCCGGTCTTTGCACCCAACTATTTTAAGGGGCGAACTCAACCGACTTTCAAAGTTGGGGTCCATCTTCTACCCTTCCTTGTCTTGTTGAAGAATTTGGTGGCCATAATTTTGATGATGATGTTTAATGGAAACCTCAACATAACACGTAGGTGCAAGTGAAGATTCTCCGCGACATTCAAAATATAAGGGAGTTGTTGGAAACAAAAGAGTTGCTGGAAAAAAGAGATACAAGGGCACTAGAAGTTGAGGAGGAGATTGTCAAGTTTGAAAGGTCGTTGGTGGAAAAAATGAAAGAATTGAAAAAAGTAAAACGGATAAGGATATTGATGTATGTATGGAGAAATTGAACAAAATGGAATGGGGAGAAGAAGATGAAAGACACAAGACTACTCTATTTCTACTTGGTGAAAGTGACAATATTAGGAAAGTTTGGTTATGAATATCACCTACTAGTTGTGAGTCGTGTGTAAGGAGTATGGGTAGGAAGTCTGGTTACCTTTGATGACTTTTTAGATGTTACTTTTGGTGACTTTTTTGAGTTCTTTGTAGCATGATCTTTGTTATCTGATGACTTTTGGACGTTATGTTTGATAACTTTTTGGGCATTACTTTTGATGACTTTTACGAGTTCTTGTAGCATGAATTTTGTTATTTGATGACTTTTGGATGTTATGTTTGATGATGCTTTGGATGTTACTTTTGATGACTTTTACTAGTTCTTTGTTGCATTACTTTTGTAATTGGATAATTTTTGTTTATTATTTAATTTACATTTAGCATTTTATAATTAATTATTTTTAACAGGTTAAGTATGGTTTCTGATGGTAAAATTTTAGCTTTTCTTCTAGTTGTGTGTTATTGGTTGATGTCAAAATAGCGAAGGCTAAACAAAAAGTATAGAATAAGAGATAAAACTTTTGTATCAAGCGGATATGCATATACGTAAAAGTTGATACATGGATGCCCTACACAATGTTATGATATGATACGTCTTAAACAATAGGCATTTGTATTTTTTTGTAACATCCGAAAAATACAACCAATTTAAATTTTTCAAAACAACCCGATTTTCATTAAAATGTTTACAAAAGGTTTTCAATACAATTCATTTAGAGTGTTTCCAGGATCACATTACTACAAAATTATGAGGAGCGGTACGATCGCGCCTTCGTCTTGCCACAGTCTCCTGAAGAACCTGAAAAACATTAAACCACAACTGTAAGCCCGAAAGCTTAGTGAGATACCCCCAAAATACCAACCACGTATACCCCCTTCCAGGCTGCGACCTTCCGGTCCAAAACATATAAAACATACATAACATATCAGAACATAGAACAGCCATGCATATCGGGTCTACTGTGTGACTGGTCCGCCGTATCGGGCCTTCAGTCCATCGGATCCATCCTCCAGGTCTAGTCATGTCCTTCGAGTCTACAGTGGGGTTGGTCCGCCCGCATCGGGCCTTCAACCCACCTGGTCCACTCTCTGAGTCTACAGTGTGACTGGTCCGCCCGCATCGGGCCTTCAGTCGGCCTGGTCCACTCTCCGAGCCTCGGCACGTCTGGTCCGCCCTCGTGGGGCCTACAGCTTATCTGGACTGCTCGCTGGGCCTTCGGGACAACCGGTCCGCCCTAGGTATCTTGGCCTACAGCACAAAGCAGGACCCGCCTCAACCCATCTCCAGTCCAAACAACCATGTGCACAAAACATACATTCATATAACAGTCATAGTCAACAAACCGAGCAAGCAGATCACATAGCATATCATTACCCTAACCGGATTACCGACCTAACCGGTCACTAGCATAGCATCAGTATGTATATCGGGAAACTAACCTTAACAAGGTCTCCTAGCATGTACCATCCTAACTACCAGGATGCATACACATCAAACAATAACATAATAACCATATCCGAATCTCAATCCTATAAAGGGCCGGCCTTGGTGCCTTAGACCCTGTTGATATAGTGAGGATAACTCACCTCGAAACTGTCGGCTGAAAAGATAAGATCCCGCTGCTCCGAACTCTGACACGAACTCCTCCACTGAACATCAAAACATACAACTCAATAAATACCCTTAATTACCAAAATACCCCTCGAAGACAACTGGTCAACCTTGGACAAGTCAAAGCCAACCCCCGACTGACCCTACTCGCCGAGTCAACCCGATGACTCGCCGAGTTCATATGCTCAGAACTTCCTTCAATCAGCGACCCAACTCGCCGAGTCACCCCAAGACTCGTCGAGTCCAACAACTCTGAGTCCACTCGCACCCAACTCACCGAGTCATCCCTTGACTCACCGATTCATCGACTCAACCAGAAATATTGGGACTTCCTCGACAAGACTCGCCGAGTCCAAATGGACTCGTCGAGTCCAAGGCTATCTTCAACCTACTCGCCAAGTTGTTCTTCCAACTCGTCGAGTTCCAGGACATCTTCAAGCAACTCGTCGAGTCCACCCATGTGACTCGTCGAGTACCACCGGTCTGAATCCATACAGAAGCATCTCAGGCCATGCAATTGATCCAAAACATAGATCCAACCTCCTACAATCCATCCATCACGTAAAGTGGCAAACTTTACGTGAATCTAACGAGATCTAAGCCATATTCACCTTAAAACCAAGGTTTGGGACATGGTAGCTTCATTAACAACACAAGAACAGGGGCTTTAATGCTCTTAAGGTCTTCTCCACTCCAGATCTGAGGTAGCAACCTCAGATCCATCCTCCAACATCAAAATGTCACACAACCAAGCACCCCACACAACCCCAAAATGAGAAACTAGGAAGATACAGCCCAAGAACGAAAGTATTACCTCCAAAAGATGCCTCAATAGCAACCAAACTCGAATCCAAGCAAAGCCCTTTGATCCAAGCCACTTCTCCTTCAAGATTTCTTCAATCAACACCTCTCCAATCTCTAATTTTCTCCACAAATGGACTCTCCACGAATTTAAGCTTTCTGGAACTCAAGGGGGGAATAAGGGAGGCTGTAGATGGGTATAATGCTCTTTATATAGGGCTCAACCCCGAAAATTAGGGTTTTCCCCATACAGCACCTACTCGCCGAGTCCATCTTTGGACTCGCCGAGTAGGCCACTTGATATGCGACCATAGTCGCGACCTGACTCGCCGAGTCTATCCATGGACTCGCCGAGTCACCCTCTAGAACTTACACTTTTAGCCCTTCAACTCTACTCTTGCGATTTCGGGATGTTACATTTTTGTAACCATTTTATGCAAAAAAATTGGTTGCAAGCTAGTTGGACAATAAGCATTGAAGAGAAGATAGATATTTTTTAACATGTTATATGACCTAATGAATGTTTTCGCGCGGTTAAAGGAAAATTTCAACACTCCTCACAAATGATTCATCAATGTTTTTACGAGGTCCTAACTGCAATGATGTGTTTTTCATTACTAATCCAACAAGACATAGCTCAGAACGATATAGACAATTAAAATAGATTTTTTTTGGAAAACTAAGTGCATTATGTCTCACCCCTAAACCGAGAACGGTGGAAACGTCCGGGGGCGGATGACGTCATTATGCAGTATCATAACAATTGAATATAAATGATCAAAGCCAAACAACCATCATATTTATAATTTAAATGTTTACATTGTACTCAAACATTATTTTCTTGATATCAAATATGTATAACAAAAATATATAGCGTGATGCAGCGATGCCCCATCCTCTAAAAACTCTTTGATTTCCTGTTTAGTGATTCCCTGATAATACAAGTGATTTTGAAAAGTGTCAATGATTAAGTTGGTGAGTCCATGAGCATTTTTATATGA